ACGCTGTGCTCTAATTAATAGCTGGTTAAAAGAACAATAAAAGTTCCAACAAAGGGTTTCAAAAATTAAATATAAATGCTAATCAAAAATATATAATTCATGTGGGGATTTGGAGCGGAGAAAGAAATTTTCCGTGGAATTGTGTAAGCCCATAAAATGATTCGAATTAAAGTTTTGTAACAGCCACACCGAATCGAAGTGAAGGTTAATCGGCATTGGTCGATGATTGATAGGAATGGAAAGGTGCAATGGTTTATGGGCTGTAATATTTTATGGTGCCGGTTATTATTAAATTAATTAAGTTTAAATAGGATCGAAAAAAGATAGAGCTGTGGCAAATACTAGATTGTCCTTTGAAATGGTGATTAGTTTTTGCCAAGTTAGGGACTCTCCTTAGACTTTAATATTTCCAAAACTGCACCTGAGTCTGGGGCAAAAATTAAAAACCGAATCGAGGTCTTAACATGGCGAAAAGTAAGTCACTTGGCTATCGCAGGCCAAAATCAGAGACAGGAAAATGCAAGGCAGCCGAGTTAAAAAAAAATGAAAAGCGCCACGAGGCGTCACTGTGGGGGCGAACTACCCTGGATATCGGGGGCCCCCAAGACCCCCCAAGACCCCTCAAGACCCCGTACTCCCCATCTACGGAGTTGGGACATGCACTACAGGTTCCCCCAGCCGATCGTCGGTTTGCATGCATATTTATTTTGCCGCCAAAGCAAAATATTTGTGCTGTTGTTTCACGTTGATACCTTTCGGTGAACGCCGCTCGCAATGGTCTGGAATTTTAAATAAATGCGATTTAGTTGTGCAACAATTTGCCTTGCTTTACTTTTTCCCCCAAACTTCTCTCGATTTTCTTGGACGCCACTTGCTCTGTGAATTTATGGTAAATAATTAAAGTAACAAAAAAGTGGCTTGTAGACAAGACAATAACAAAAAGGCAGCAATATCAGGGGCAACACAACTCCGAAATACCCCATAAATATTTGGATTTGAAATTTTAGATAGCACCGTAATGGTTGAAAACATTTCCAAATTATATTGCCTATTTTCGCAGTGTGATTAATTGTTGTTAGCAATTTAATTTTAACTGTGGTATAACATTTTGTTACCTGTTTCTTAGCTTACTAAATATGGGTTTAGCTTATCTAATGTATTTTGCTTTAATTAATAAATGATTGAACCATATAAATTATAATTTTAATAGTTACTTTCAAATAATTTGTTTAAAAATGATCTGATTTTAAGCAGTTCTATTATTATTATATTTATTTTGTGACTGACAGTTCTAAAGTTGTAATCCATTGAGTATCATATAAATATGTAATGCTAGAGCTGATGAGACCCCCAGTTTATACAGGGTATCAAATGTACCTGTCACTTCCTGGCTTTGCGTAAGCTCTTAACAATTTTTTATGAAGTATTATCGCTGCTCTTTCGTTGGTTTCTGTTTCTGTTTATTGGCAACGAATATCAAGAGGCACTCGGCGCATTAACCAACCCAAGACACCAGTCAGCTAAATATACTCGTACAGCCGTGTTCAAAATAATGGTTATATTTTCATTATTTCAAAAATGAAAATAAAACAAGCTAATTAGTTGGTATAAACTGATTTTCAAAAGATTATATCTAAATAATATATAGTGCGGCTTTAAGATTCATATAAAAAAATATCTAGAACTATTTCTAAAATTGTTCAAGATCTTACAATACCTTTTTAAAATTAAATTATGACAGTTAATCAAAATAAGCAAACAAATTTGGTTTCGAAAATCAATTCAGATACATTAAGGAGACTTTTTAAAAATATTAAAAACACATAATTACGATATTGAAAGAAAATTGAAAACTTATAAAATGAGAGATATAAATTTCATATGAAATCATTTTATTTTCAGAACCACTGGACTGTTTGAACAAATATATTTTAAATAATATATATATACATAAATATAAGTTAATTAAGATATTGGAAGAAATTTGAAAACTTTAAAAGTAAGAGATATAAACTTGAACTAAAACCATTATAATTTTAGAACCACGGGACAGTTTGAACAAATACTTAAAATATTATAATATGTTTGAGTATTTATATATGTATATATATAAAAATATAAAAAAATTTAGATATTGAAAGATGTTTGAAAGATGTTTGAAAACTTAAGAACTGAGAGATATAAATTATAAATGAAATCATTTTATTTTCAGAACCAAAGAACAGTTTTTAAAAAATCTCAAGCCCTGTAGTAATGTTTTATTAAGCTTTATAAGCAAATAGATTAACTATATTTTCTAGGTAAGCCCTCAATCTTTTCCCTGTGCCCACAACTATTATTCTGGACCCGGCTGTCTGTATATATATTTCATTCTGTATTCCGTCGGGTCTGGTGTGAAAGCGAGAGTCCGTCGTCGTTGTTATTATGGGTAAAGTTATGCTCGGCGCGTAACTGGGCCAGCAACAACAACGAGAAATGTTTACAAAATATTCATTGATTTAAAATGTGGTATTTCTGAGTTTATTGCTATGCTTTTTTTTTGGGGGGGCATTTTTATTGTTGTTGCGGGTTGATTGATCAGCCTGCAAGAGTGATGCAATTATGAGGGAGTTCGTTTTTTATGTGTTACAATTCAGAGTTGAATTTCCCTTGTTTTCCAATGCGGCGTATGCGTAATCTTGGGCAGGCATTTCACGAATTGCGCATACGCCGCGTGGTCCAGCAGCCAGAAAAAGAAGTATTGAACCCTCAATTAAGCGCGGAATCTTGTGTCACTAGTATAGCGACATCGGGCGTGTCTTTAACTCCAGTCGAAAATTGCAGAGCCAGCGCGAAACAAGCAATAAAAAAACACTTGATTGGAGGGGCAAATCTGGGGGAATTGGGGGCTATAACTAGGGGAACTGGGCGTGGGAAGCGTGCAGCAAGAGTTAAACCAAACAACTTTATTATGCAAAGTGCCCAGAATGCCCCGCGTCGTGGTTCACCATTACCCCAAACCCCAAACCCCTATTTTCCATTCCCATCATGATTTTGCCCTAATGACAAGCTGCCTACTTAGCCATATATATATATATATATATTTAGTCTACGAACTCGAGTTCCCACTTATAAAGCCGTTCGATTCGTGTGCCAGTAGTTCAAGCGGAAAGGGCGACAGCATTGGGTTCGATTTTATGGGAACAGAATGGATATCTCAGTTTATTGGTGGTTATAAAATTAAATGCTATAGGTAAATTGAAATTTTTAGGTCTTTTGGGGGTTATTGATAGGTAGCAATAACCCCTGTATCCCAATATATTGTATTTTGTCGGCTAGTCTTATTGATGTGACACCTAGACCCATAACCCCCAACTCTACAAAATATTCCCACCTGAAACCGCAAATGAATCATGTACGTAGCTCCCCCCCAAAATCGAATTGCCCGCGGGTCTGCGACATGCAACACATATTGCATGTTGCATGTTGCATGTTGCTGGTCGGCTTGGCCGGTGATTGACACCTTTTAACTACCGTGACGCAATGGGGCGACAACAGCCGGTCTTTGGCAGCCAAGTGACACATTTCCACGGTTTTCACCGCCACCCGACCAGTCGACCACCCACCGGCTCTTCCCAGGGGAAAAATAAATGCCTGCCTTCGCGGAAAACTCGAATTTCGTACCGAATTTTCACCCCGATAATCTATAATTATAATTGCCACTCACTGGCGGCTCAGTTCAGCTGAAAGCCAATGAAAATTGCCCAACCGCACTTATGCAACGTCGATCTGGAATGGATCGGTTTGGATCAATCGATATCGAGACTATATGGCCACGCCCCGATCTCCAAGTCGATCTGGATCTCGATCTCGATCTCGAGGGCCTCCCGTCGAGTGGAGTGTTGCGCGATTTAGTCTTTAGTTAGCATAATTCGCTGTCTAATTGTCAACGACAGGCGAAGAATGCGGTTTCTACACAACAAAGATACATTTAACGAGATTAAAGATACATTTCTATACATTTTTTCAAACATGGTTTGCACTTCAAGGATTTTTGTTTGAAAAACAAAAGGCTAAGCTTAATGGGAAAATAAAAAATTAATTAAGAGTATAACAATTTATTTTATTTTATAATATTTTGTTATATTATATTTTATAGTATTATTTTACATTATTTATATTTAATTATATTGAAAAAATATTTCTTTATACATTAGAACCTACAAAATGTATTTAAAGTAATCAACATTTAGTTAACTTTCTTTAAAAATAATTTTTATTAATTCCAAATAAAAATCGTATGCTATAATACTATTTTAAAACTTCTACTACCTATGCTTAGCATCAACACATTTTTATATATTACCAAAAATAATCTATGAAATTTTGTATATTAACTAGGGTTTCTTTCAGTGCACCTACATGGCTGTCATTGTCAACACACTTTTTGCAATGTGGTTCGGTTCCCATTTCCAATTACAAAAGCAAGCTACACCCACCGTCAGGTTGGGACGCAACATGATCGACTAATTACTATATATACGGCCAGAACTCGTAGAACCGATCAAAACCCCATCATGTCGTATGAGGGACAACCAGTGCGATAAAATCTAAGCAGGAAACTTATGGGAGAACAAAATGGGGATTGAAAAATGGGATTGGCTGATCTATGGAATATATGAAAGTTGAAATTATGAATTTATAAGATTAGATGTTTGTAAAGAGTATCATTTGTTAGCAACAGCCAATAATGAAGTCATAAACACGCTCATTATTTGTTCATTAATTTTGTTGATTGGATGGGTGTCAAGAGTAAATTAATCTTGCTATTTATTCTGTATTTTAAGATCTTTGTTTGAGAACTTATAAACTAGGTAAGTTTGAGTTTTCAATTTTGGCTCCCTCCTTTACCACCTTGATAGCTAAAGGTTAATGCATTTCCGTTTCCGCAGGCCAAGTGTTTTTATTTCCACCTTTGATTTCCTTTTTGGAAACCTAAGTTTGTGTTTTGTGCAACTCACCTTTGGGTCTTGAGATATCACAGAATGGTTTTTGTGCATAAGAAAACGGCGACACTTGCTGTTGTTGCTCTGGTTGTTCCTATAGTTGTCGTTCTTGAATATTGTTGGTATTTCTGGGTTTACTTGTTTTGGTGTGAACCAAAATATTTCCAGCAATTTTCTGGCTATTTTCGCGCTTGGCCTTTGTGCTTTTTTGTATTTTTCGCTCCACTTGGATCTGGCAGAGCCGGGAGTTATTTACGCTACTTTTTTATGATTTTCGCAAATTACTTTTCGTTGGGCAACTTTTGGTGTTGTCTATAGTTGTTGTTGTTGTTGTTGCTGCTGGACATATTTCCGTTGGCAGCAACAACATGACGCAGCGTTCTGACCGTCAATCAACGAGCTGCAAGAGGTTAGAGAAACATGGTTAATTATTATCGAATAAAAACAGGCTGTAAATATGAAACTTTGTTGATAAAAACAATTAGTTATAACCAATAAATAGACCGAGTTTCAAACAAATCGAGCGAGAAATAGCCCAGTTACATGGGATTAAACAAATCAAGGCGATAAGACACTTAACGATTGTTATGAAATATTTACAACCGATGTATCTCAATATTTGTTGATCAAAACCAATTATTTGTAAGCCAAGAATGCCGCAAAATTCAATTAATTTGAACTGATTTACTGTATTAATGATATAAGATCAACAAGAATGGTAATGAAACCAAGCTGGCAGCACAAAAACCCCATCCAAAGCGTAATTACGTTTTTAATTAGGGGATTTATAAGCGGAGGCAGCGGGTTCTACGATTTCCACCGCATTTTCACAGGCGAAAGGCGGAAGTCCATAGTTTCGCTGGCATTTTTTTTTTGGCTTTGGCTTTGGCTTTAGCTTTGGATGTGAATGCAACACCTGGCGATTGTCACCATCCATTGGGATGAGTGTCCATCCGCTCCCCTAATTGCCGCATTAAGAGGAGAAATGATAAATAAGCAACTATATTATTCCACAGTCGTTTGCCCAGTACATCAAAATTACATTAGGCCGACCGTGTGAGCACCGACTGACCCATTTATCGAGTGCTGTCCGTCGTCTCACCCAGTTGACTATGATGTGTTAATTAGTCAAATGTTGGTCAACACTCAACTCAACACTCTTGGCGTTGTTTGACTTGCGTTTCAAGTGGACTTTGCATTTTGCGAGGGGCGGGGGCACTTTGAAATTCATTTTTTACACAGCTTAAAAAGCAGATTACTCTTGAGATTTATTAGTGAAAAAATTGTTAACAAGTTTGTGATTTTTAAGTAGCATTAAGTACTGTTCAAATTGGGTTTTTCATGATAAAATACTTGAGCAAGTTACAATTCTTTATTTTCAGATTTACTTGAGGTCACTGTAAAATCTTCTTCACTTATTTATTATGTAGAATAAAATTTATTAAATAAAGGAGGCTCTTTAAATACACTTTACTTAAACTTTTCCAAATCAGTCTTTATCAGTGGAAAACTGTTAACAAGTTTGTGATTTTTAAGTAGCTTTAAATTTGTTTAAATTTGGTTTTTAATAATAAAATACTTGAGCAAGATACTATTCTTTATTTTCAGATTTACTTGAACTCACTGTGAAATCTTCTTCTCTCATTTATTATTTTGCAAAAAAATAATTAAATTCGGTTATAAATCTTGAGATTGGTCTGGTAAATTAAGTATTCCAAATCGGTCTTTAGAAAAACCTCTTCCTGTGTTTCCCAACTCTCTTGTTTTAGCTTTCATATCAACTCCTCGTAAATGGGCAATCAATCTCACGTAATATTCCTCCCTTCTTCTTCGCCTCATTTCCTTTGCATTATTTTTCAGTTTATTGGGATTTTGCAATATTATTTCTGGCATCTGCCAGACTCTGTGCATATATCGTTTGGGCCTTTTCCTGCGTGCAGTGCTTTTGTATGCCAGGCACAAAAATGCGGGGCAACAACCAAAAAAAAAAAAGCTGGCAAAACCGAAACAAAATCGGCAAAAATGATTTAATAAGTCGCCGGACAGCGGAGCCAGGCAGCAAAACCCACTGGCAACCGGATATCGGAGTCGAAGTTGAAGTTGGAACTGAGTAAATGTTTTGCAATTTCCCTAAGATTTCCATGAGTCGACTGGTATCTGTATCTGTATCTGTATCTATAGTTATTCGCAGATACATTTCGGTGTATCTGTGTGGCATGTTGCAAGCGCGCATGTGCGTGTGCCACATGATCGGCGGTTCCTCAATTAAACAGCACTTGCATATATACAATTTTATTTGTTTTTACCATCGATCGTTAAGCTCCCGAAAATTAAGTCCCGCCAGAGCCGATTAATGCTTAAGCGTTTTAATGCCCCCCACTCGAAGTGTTGATCATCCCGAGAGCAGCAAGTGGACACCAAACACTGCGGACCAATGGATATTACACTGAAAAAATAAATCTACTAAAAGCAAGACTTCACTTTCACCCTTTACCTATTTAATATAAAATTTTGAATCATTTTACTATATATAATACATAAATTGGTAGATATAATAAGTAACTTACTAGATATAATACGTAAACTACATGATTTAATAGTATTCTCTTCGGTACATAAAAACATATGAAATGTTCTGTATGCATCTGATATATGTATTAAATAATTATTTTTTATAGTTCTATATAACTTGAAATATTCAACATTTTCCATATCACCTTATAATAATATATACATCTACGTCAAAACCTACAATATCTTAATAATATTACACTAGAAAAATAAATCTACTAAATACAATATTTTACTTTCACCCCTCAAGTTATTGAATATACAATTTTGTATAATTTTACTAGATATAATAGATAATTTACTAAATACAATACGTAGTTTTCTAGATATAATATAATTTACTAGATATAAGAGTATTATTTCGTGTACAATTGAAATATTTTTTATGTTCCTGATATACGTATTAAATAATTCGTCTTTATAGTTCTACATAAATATCTTTATAATATCTTTAATAACTAAGTACCACAAAATTGTTTTCCCTGCACCAAACACCGATCGGCGGACAAAAAAAGCACTTGATTTACGAGTTCCGTTCGCAGAAGCTGCAACTTGACGTCGTGAATGTGGATGTGAATATGGACGTGGATGTGGACGTGGATGTGGATGCCACTTGACTCATTTGCCGCACTCATCCACTCATCGAATTCATTCATTACGGGACAGCCGCTCTGCCGCCAATAATTGTTATTTTATTGTTTAATCGCCGACAACGTCGCTGGATGCTTTGATTTTCGCCGTCGATTTGCCCCATGAATAATAGAGTTGTTTTTCGAGCCATGAGCGGAAGGCATAACGATTGGGGATTCGACTCGAACATGATTCGAACATGATTCGTTGTCTGGTCAAGTACCATCGCCCCTCTCTTCTCCACCGCTCCCCGAAAACCAACGATTTGATCTCGTTTTCATGGCGTTTGATTGTGGCAAGGTCAAGTTGGTTGGATTGGAAGCGTAGTAAAGTATCTGATATCTTTGGAAACAATTAATACCATTTCTTATGTGTATCTAGGGGTTAAATATTTTTGAAAACATTATCTAGTATTATTAATAAGTAATGAAAACTTCAAAACATTATCATTACTAGACATCAAATATTTAAGTAAAAGCTTATTATGATTTTATAATAAATTATTATAAGCAATCCAGTATCGCATGTTCAAAAAAATATCCAACGACTATGTATCTCCTTTATATATGTTATAGATATTAAAAAATGATACCGTTTTACAAAAAAAATCACAGAAAAAATTATTAAAATATTATTATATCTTAGTAAATACGATCTTTTAGTTCTTTAAATGTTCCTAAAATTACCCACAGTTCACCACCTGAATGGATATATGATTAATAACAATTTGAATAAGTAGTCCATTTACCAGCACTGATATTACGGCATTGCCCATGCCAATTAAGAAGCACCTCCTTTCAGATTCCCAGACGAGGTAAAAACCCAAATTAGAATATACCCCCGATCATTATGCAAATGCGGGTAATGAGCGGCATCCCATCTCGTATCTCGCTTTTGTGGGTCGACAATTGCGGTTCGCTTTTACTAATTCGGCTTAATTAAGGCGTTGCGGCGTTAATGAATCGTAAAACAAAGACCAGGCCAAAAAAAAAAAAACACCAGCACAGTGGGCCTAATAGCCTCGGTTGCAGTTTCCAGCTGTGAGTTTTTCTTTTCCCGCCGAGTGAAAGAAGGGCAAAAGCCAAGGGGCTAAAAAACAAACGGCAGCCAAAGAGGCAACTTTCCCGCTGTCAACAATGGGCAGTCGGCTGCCAGGTGGGCGTGGCCCTCGAGCTGTTCACATGTGTCTGTTTTCGAGTGTCTACTGTCTACTGTCTGCCCTCTGCTAATGACAATGGCTGGTTGGGTAAAAGTGCCGTGCCGCCAGTGAAATCCTAGCATTCGGATTCGGATTTGCACAGAGCTGTGAAAGCTGCGAGAAGCCAGTGACTTTGGCCCCCAGAATCAAGTTATCATATGCACATGCAATGGGGCACAAACGATCTAGAAAGTGACGGCATAAATTGTAGGAAAGTTTATAAATAATGTTTTTGGGTGTGTGATTAAAGAAATACCCAGAGGAGAACTACAATAAAAATTTTATAAATTAAAGAAGTTGCAAGAAGAAAGCTACAAGAAAAATTTTATAAATTAAAGAAGTTCAAAAGGAAAGCTAGAAGATAAATTTTATAAATAAGAAGTAACTATTAAAAAAATCAGGAAAATATAAACATTATTATAAACATGCCTAACAATAAAAAATAAAACAAAAAAAAAACTATATTTATACTATACTTTTGCTTCCTTTCCATTGTTATACTGAAAAGTATACTGAAAACTTACAAAAAAAACAAAATTTATTATTACATAGATTAAGAAAGCTTATAACTATGGTTTTTGTGTGTGGAAAAAAAAATAGCAAGAGTAGAACTTCAAGTAAAATTTAATACATTAGACGTTACAACTAAAAACAATTTTTTAAAATTTAATTTGGAGTTTGTCCTTGGGACAATCATTAAATGTTATAATTTATTATTATTTTAAATATAAATATGCTTAATAAATTAAAAGTTACAATCAAAAACAAAAATATATTCTTTCAATTTAATTTACAGTCTGTCCTTAGGACAATCGTTAAATGTTATAGATTTGTGTTATATTAATTAACATAAGCAATACTTTCTTTGGCTAACAATTTAAAAGTAAAACAAAAAGTAAGCCATGTTTTTTGTGCTTCTTTTCCCTTGATATATTTATACTAAAAATTAAAAAACCTAATTCAATAATTTTAAATTTTAAGCCTTTTAAAAATTCTTTAGAGTAAATTTAAAGAAAACTTATAGAAAACAATTTCAATAAAATATTATAAGTGCAAGCTCTAACCCTACATTTTTTTTTTTAATTTTGCTTCAAGTTCGTTGCCTAAGTCTTTTGATTTACATATATTCCTGCATGAGCTTTAAATTTTTGCCTGTCCGTTCTACGGTCTAGAATTTTGTGCTGAATCAGCGGCTTAAGCAAACCTGGCACCCTTCTAAAATTGTGAAAGGAACCAATGACAGATCATAACACCAGCACCGAATGTTTTTTAGCTCCCCGGCTGTTTTGTCTTGGCGAAATCGACCCACACACACCGCACATCGCACGATTAAACGTTAAATAAGCTAACGCACTAACGGCCTGCGACATGATCATTATGCAGATTTATGACTTCAACACTTGCAACTGATAGTGCGGCCAGCCCCCTTCTGGGGTTGGGGACCCCCCCTTCCACCTACACCCCTGCCCATTTCGTTGTTAACAAAGTTGTTTGTTTATGAGGCGCTTGGCTTGAATTATGGCTGGAAATTAACAACAATTTAGCGGCTCAGACTTGTCGCCAGCTTCCACAGCCATTAGCAACGACACTTGGCCAGATCGGTTGGGTTCGGATCGACTGCGATAAGTACCGGGTATTATATAGTCTAGATCGTAGCATATGTTGGGCCCATATCTATGTAGGCCCCAAGTGGGCGTCTCGAATTGCCTTTAATTAATCATTTTGTCGTAGTACTCTCAGCTCTAATTAAATTCAATTTCAAGAATCGATCACTCGGTCCGTCAGATTGAAAAATGGTTATTAAACTATTGCGAAATCTTGTCTGGGCCAAGCGCTCTAATTGGTATCACTTTACTTTGCTGCTATTTTTTACTGCCTTATAATGTCCCCGATAACTGTTTAATTGCCAAACGTTAACAAGGAACCCACTGAAAACTCTGAAATCTGAAATGGTTGCATGCAACTTTGTATTTTCGGTTTTGTACAGATCGCAACAGTTTGTGGCCAAAGCATCGTCGGCCGTACCCCTAGTGCCACGCCCCCTCGATAAGACGGGGGTACTGGGGCGTTACGATCTGTCGGTCAGCCAAATGTTTGTTTAAACTGCGCTTTTGCGGCCAACGAAATGGAAACACCAAAGGTTACCGTGGGGCAAGGCATTTGAAAAACACACCATTAAAAGATATTTATAAATACTGTCAACCATTTTAGATTCTGAAGGCCAGAAAGAATTCAGAAAATAAAATATCTATCTATCTAAAATATTATTACTGGATAATATATGCATTTGATATATTTTAAATTATTTAACGAACCAATCTCTGTTAAGCAAAAAAATGAATCAAAGTTAGTTATTAAAACGGTATCTTTATACGATGCAAAACGTAAAGCGGTAAAGCTAAGATTAAAGTCAAGATTAAAAAACTTCTATCTTAAATAATGGTCACTGTTCTATTGGGTGCGTGAGATAGTAATCTGTCACCTCCACCCTTTCGCAATATCATTATTTTTGGTGCACAGGAAAAAATTTTGAAGTTAATTAAATTATGAAATTTATTATGAAAAATATGTTTACCCCAGCTTTATATATTAAATATACCAAAAATATACTATATAATACTAGATATTGTAAATTCAGGAAAATGAAAATATGTATAAGTCAAACTATAATTTCATTAAGTATTTTCTTAGCATGAATAAGGCTATGAAATTTATTTTTAAAAATATTTTTAGCTCATGTTTAATACATAAAATATACTAAAAATATACCGTATAATACTAGATATTGTAAATTCAGGAAAATTCAAATATCTATAAGTCATACGATAATTTCTTTAAGTATTTTCTTAGCATTTTCGAGCTAAATAATTTTGAGATAAGTTAGGCTATGAAATTTATTTTTAAAAATATTTTTTCCTTATCTTCTATATATAAAATATACTAAATAATACTATATGTTGTAAATTCAGGAAAATTAAAATATCTATAAATCATACTATGATTTCTTTAAGTATTTTCTTAGCCTGCTAGATGGCATGTATGTCGATTGCAATTAACTAGCTGGAAATATGACCGGGCCAAGAACCAGACCCCCTCCCCCCATCACTACCCCCCTGCCACTCCCCTTTGACCCGATGGCTGACTGCTTTGCATTTGTCGCTTGTCGCTCGTCTGGTTTATTGCACTTTTGGCAGCTAATATTTATTAACCATAATTATCGGTTGCCGCCGGCCGTTCTAACTGTACACGATCTTTTGGGCACGGCTTCCGGGCCAGGCCAACTTGCCTTAATTGCCAACCACAGCGGTAGTAACAGTAACAACATCATGCAAATTACTTCACTTGGCTCTGGATCGAGTGGGCTGGCGAAATTGAAGTCAAATTGATAGATGGGCCGAGGTGAGGACAGGCCACTCTATTGTGGCCATGCAAAAGGTAAGAAAAAGCGCCGACTCATCTTTCACCACAAATCCATTTTCCCAAACGTGGAAAAGCGGCACGGAAATTATGAGGAGCTTTTCTTTTTGGCATTGAATGAAAATGCGAAGGTAGCCAAAGTGAATGTCTGATTTTGATGTTGATGTTGATGTTGCCACTTGCCACCGTTGGTGTTGCCAGTTGCCAGTTGCTGGTTGCCAGTTGCCAGTTGCTACTGTTGCAGGTGGGCCAGCGAAATCTTTTGGCCGGAAGCATCGACAAATTTGCACTAAATGGCGCCATGGCACGCGCATCATCATCATCAACATCGTGATCATCGTCTTTTGGCCATTCAGCAGATTATGCTGATGGTTTTATTATATTTTTCTTTGGGTTTTTTTTTTGGGCAAATGCTTGCGCTTCGTGATTTAATTTTTTTCCACCTGGCTTGAGGGTTGCTTAAATTAAAAGGCGCTCGTTCGGATGTAGTTGGTTGGAAATTTGAAAAAAAAAGAAATGAATAAAGCTCCAAATTGATAGATAAACCGATTTTATGGTCAGATAATAAACGAGTATTAAAAAAAAGAGTTTAATTATATTTGGGTATGGGGAAAAATAGATGATCGTTGAAGAGGTAAACATTTTGCAAACATTTTTTGGCAACTATGATTTTGAAAGGGGTATTACGAAAAAATAAACAAGACTTCAAATTGTTTTAAAAGGAAACCATTAAAGAGATGCATATGTTTGCTAAAATAAGTCTATTATATAAAGCATGCCGAATATTAGTTTACATAAAAATTCAATTAAAAACTTACTTAGTTACTCATGCCGAAAAACGAAGTGCGAAGTGAAATCCCAAAAGTATTTAATTTATAGATGTTTCTAAAAAGATAAAAAGATAGAAAAATTATTTTTAAAAATTAGTTATGAACGAATTTTACTTACTAACCTTATAAATAAGTTTTTATACTTAGAATTAGATAATATAGATTCATCCTAAAACCCTTTTAAAAATTATTTTTCAAAATTAGTTACGAATATTTATTCACGATTTTTACTTATTTAAATTATTAAGAATTTTTATACTTAGAATCAAATGATGTAGATTAATCCCTAAATCCTTAAAATGGTAAAGAGTAACAGAGTTACGACCCAAAAATATGAAATGAACTTCCCTCTCGCAGTCAGAATTTCCCATCTAAACAACTCGAATGGGGCGAAACAAAAGACTTAGGACACAAACTTGCCAGCTATTTCAGCTTACGCGCAATTGAAATGACAAATGCCACAATGCACATATACTAGATGACGCAAGTGGCCATGCAGACCCCCTTTTAGCCACTTGGTCTGGTTTTTTTGTCTATTTGTTGGACCCTCTATAATTTACCTGGTATGCGTGCGCGTTCAATGCATTTTTCCTTTATTTCTCTGCTCGGCGGCACGATAATTTTCATTTTTTGCACCGCTGCCGTTTGTTGCCTGCCAATAAAAGTCTTTGTCAACGGTTTTGTTGCTGTAATCAAGTCACACGCATGCGCAACGAAGGCAACAATTTCAGATATTTCTGCGGCGGCTCTCTTCATTTGCATTTAATTCCAGCGAAAGAATTAAAACATATATTTTAATTTCCATTTGGTCACCCCGCCTCCTCCCCGTTTCCAACCGACTGATAATTAAATCGCATTTAATTGCCCACCAACCGTAATAAAAACAATGTGTGGCAATTGTGAGAACCCGCAGAAGCCATTGACATATGGCATCGACATCGGCATCGCCATCGGAATCGGAATACGGAATATGGCAGCGATTGCAAAATATATTGCCAACCATTTGTCCAACCTGATATTGTTCGGGCTGAGTTATTTGCCTTTGCCGGCGCACAAGACAAACGATATGCATTCATTGCTTATGACAGCAATGGATGCATATTCCAATGGCCCTTGAAATGGATTGCAAAATGGCAGGAGGGGGGGATCCACAATGGTTTCCGCTCAGAATATCATTGATTTATATCATCATCTGGCGGGAAAACCAATTAAAAGCCTCCCTGACTTACAATGGTTTTCTTTAAGATTGGTTTATTTGCAAAGCAACTGAATTAATTACACTAAATAAAATTTAATAAAAATTTATTTGATAATAAAACTAAAAATAAACTTTAATTTTTAGCACTCATAACATTTGCATAGCAACAATGTTTTTCTTAAAACTTAAAACAGAACTAAATATATTTTATATATAATATTATCTGCCAGTTTTTTTTAATCAGCTCAGAATATCATTAATTTCCATAATTATCTGACAAGAAACAAAAATGTAAACGGTTTTCGGTTATGCTTTCATTATAATCGGTCATCGGTCAAATAATCGATTAAGGTTATCGATCATTAAACTATTCGTTTACTGCTAAATAAATTATAAAGATTTGTTGATAGTTATGAACATTTGCATAGCAATTAAACATTGAAAAATTTTAAATTCCTCTTAAGGTTTTTTTTCAAACCAAAAATGTTCAATATTACTACTTCTAGTACTTATGATACATAAAGATATCTTACAGGCTAGTCTTTTTAAAGATTCCCTTAAACCTAAAAGTCAATTTAATGTTCAACTTTTTTTCTAACTGGCTACGAAACAACATATTAAATTTGTAATAATATGTCATTTAGTTGGACATTCGCAGATTTCCTAACATTAGCCACACGTCACATTTTCCCAAGGGCTTTTCCACCAAAAAAATACTTGGAAATTTTCATTGTCAACCCCACTAAGCGGCTACTTATCGCATTTAATTGTGATTATAATTCGTCTGTTTATGGCGGGGACCAGAGCTGCAATTAGCCGGCTGTTGATTAACAATAATTGCGATGTGAAACACTTTAAAATGCCATAAAAGAGACTTATGAGCAGCATGCCAAACGGAGTTGGTGGGGGGATTTCATTGGTGTTGCAGAGATCGCAGAGAATGCCCCACATTTGGTCAGACCCCCAAAAGTGGTCGAAAAATGTGTGTTCAACAGGATGCAATCAATGTCATCCGACATGAACAGCCGGCAATATAATTAAGTCGAGAATGCCAAATAATTGAAGCCAATCGATTGGACAGGAAGCGCATAAATTGAAATGCAACACAAATCGAACAATTGTCAATGGAAAAAATGAGAGCACAGAACTTATGACAGCTTCATTGTAGGAAAATAGAAAAAATAAAACTCGGAAAAGGCTAGAAAAAAAAACAGAATGCGATACGATCTTATCGCTGGACATGCGACAACTTGATCGATCGATGGGACCACACATCGGCGACCGCCTGTCGAACCTATCGTTATCGATTGGCAATCGGCACGAATCGGACAGTCGACATGTGCCCAATAAATCGAACATTGACAGACACAACACTTGGGCGGTAGTTGGGTATAAATTATCTTTTCGGTCTCCATAATTTTTCATATTTTTTGGTCCAACAGTTTCCTTATTCGCCGAGCCAAATAAATTAAGATATTGTTAACACAACCATGATCTTAAATGGGGGAAAAACGAGTAAAAGAAAGCAATGAAAACTGGGCAAACACCAAATGATGAATGTGGCCAGATAAATTCAGCGAATTATTAAGTGAAAGAAATTTTGTTAATGCCAAAATATGGCTGCATATTAAGCCTAATTGTGGATGAAATCATAGAGTGGTTAAGCGCTTAAACAAAATGCTTTAAATGCTTTTTGCCTAATGAAAACATGTAGTTTTTCCAGTCATTAAATATTTTTTAAATGTCTAAAGAGATTATAAAGCAATTCAAAGCAAGACTTTCTTTTACCTAGCTTTTACTTTTCTTTATTACAACTTTTAACAGTTTTTTTAACACATGAAGTTACAGAAATTATTCAAAAACTCCATTCTGCATTCCTTTGAGCACCAAAGCTATTGATTAATTGCCTTGATCTGTGGACTCCTCGATTCCGTGATTCATTCTCCACTCCAGATATTAGCATTTTACAGATCGTCTGACAACGGGGAGCGTTCGTATCCATATCGCATATATATCGCATATATGCCGTCAGTTTCGCATAAATATTTGCTTATGGTAACCTTGGGTGCGTGGTTCAAACCCGTTACGACCGGACGGACATTATCTCGCTTTGGGTGCGCATTTTCCGAGACATGCCTGCGGGGCATAATTGGGTTTTAATTGATACCAAAACGAAAAGCGACTGAAAAACCCCACAAAAGGCGGTCGAACTCAAATCAGAGCCACGAAAAAAAAATCGAAAGTCCGATTTCTGAAGTCTGCATGCAAATTCTAGCAAAGGGAAGTGATTAATTTTGACGTTGCGGAGGCTTGGCTTAGTTTTCATTTTTTAGTTTTTATTTTTTATTTTTTCTATTCCAGCCACATATCACATCATATCGAATTACCAAGTGGCCTTAACAACACAATTAAGACCCGTTTACAATTTTTTGGCTTTTGGTTTTTATTTCCATTTTCCCCGCGGCCAATTGAATTGGCCTAATGAGTGCAACGAATTTGACAGCATGGATATCTTTGGATATATGGATATATGGTCATATATAGTGGCGCATTCGGATCTGTCGATGCAGCTAATCCGGGGCCGCTGATTGTTCATTCCGAAAAAAATATGTGAAAGGGCCGTCGCCGGGTTGTCAACGCGATTCGAATACACAAATATAGCCACGCCGATATGCAGATCGACGCTTATATAGCCACGGACTACAAATCATTGAGTCACGCCTATGAAATTTACATAAATATGAGCAAACAAAATAAAAGAATGAAAAACGATTGAACGAACTAAAGGAATCCCGCCGAGTGATGATTTTTTAAATACTCTTTGACTAAGGAAAATCATTCAACAAATCAATTTGAATTAATTTTGAAAGAAAAATGTAAAAAAAAAATATTTTTTAAATATATTTTAATTTGAAATATTTAAAATTAGCATAGCTATTATAATAAGATATTGAATAAATAAAAAATCCATAATTTTGTTATATTAAATGTCTACTAAACTTACTAAATATTAAGTGAAATGTACCAAAAACTTTAAAACAAGACAAATCATATTACAGATGTACCATTCCACTTTAAAATTTGTAACTTAATCCAACTTTAAAAGTACCCTAATCTTCTATCATAACCAATGGACTATAACCAGTCTCGATTTTGGTAAGGGTAAGCAAAATGCAATTCATCAGCTGGCAATAAGCATAAAGCCATAAAACCATCGACTGACTTAATGGAGTCGTTTGAGCGACAAAATTGTTTAGTGCAGCTGAATGAAACAAAAAAAAAGATTGAATAGCCCCCCTTCGCCGCCCCTTGATTGAGCCACGCCCCTGGCATTTTTTCAGTGGGGGCAGTGGGGATAAGAAAATCCGCAACAAAAATAAAAGAAGCCGAGGCGAAGGCAGAAAAAATGCTAAAGTTCGTTTCTTAAGTCTTTCGTTTGGCGGCGCTAAAAGATTGCGCAAAAAATTGGGGGAACAAAAACCGAAACAACTCCCGAAATCCCAGAAATCCAACTTCGTGCCACAACTTAAGCAGATTACAAAAAAAAAAAACTAAAGCCAGTAAATAATATGACCAGCGGCTTGAGGATAATTGTTTGGTTATCTCAAATATGTTTCTTGGTTTTTCTTTGCCTCGATTACTGCTCCAATTTAAAATATCGCCGAGAAACCAATCCCAAAATCAAATCAAATCAAAAAGTTGCCAAATGTTGCAGCAGTAATTATTGTTTCCAGGCTATATCGACTATATGTGGGCGTGGCAAAATCAGCCTTAGAATGCGGTAGAGAAAGCAATAATAACAACAAACAACTACAAACGGCGCAAAACAGAAAATAAACAGAAAACCAAGTTAGGCA